TTAAGAGAGTAAAACAATTTTTCTTTCTCTCTCTCTAAAAGTGGAGAGGGGCCTGTTAAAGCGGGGAGTTTAATATTATATATTATTGTAATTGAAAGATTAAATTAAAAAGTATTTTGTATTTCAAAGAAGTATTTTGTATTTTGTATTTCAAATCAAAAGATTGAAAGTATTTTATATTTTGTAATTCAAATACTAAGATTCCTAGTATTTTATATTTTGTATTTTAAATACTTTAATGGTGTATTTTGCCCAGCCCTGGTCATAGTATAATATAAATATGATTCTTGGAGATCAATTAATTGTAAAAAGTATAATGTGTCTAATAGTATGGCCACTATATGTGGGATAAATAATATAGAACTATATATTCTATATATGTAAAATGATATCGAAATAATAATATCTTACTTAAAATAATAATGTAAAATAATCTTACATCGAAGGTACGTTCCAACATGACCGCTATGTAATACTCTCTACGCGGAAACATACGCGCCGTCACCATCACCGAATTGCATATCTTTCCAGCCGCGCCCGTCTGTTTAGTCACGAGCACCTTGCCGATCATACTCTCCGCCAATTCCTTTACCTGCTCGGGGCTGCAACGGAAGAGATCTCTCGTCGTTTCCAGCTGTTTCTTTATTTCGTGCAACGTTACGATTCACGTACTCACGTATCGCACATTTCGACGCCGCTGACATTGCTATCCTTAAACTGTCCCTTCCCTCTACCTCCAGCCAGAACTTGCGCCTTCAGCACCAGGTCCTTCGTATCTAGATCCTTGGCCAGACGAGCGGCTTCGTCGGGCGTCTTTGCCACCGAAAAAGGCGGGGTCGGAATACCGGCTTTCCTCAATAAGGTGTGCGCCATATGCTCGTGTACCTCCAAATTTCGCACCAATTGTTTGACAACCGGAACATTATGCGTTAACAACTGCGGGGAACAAAGCATCTTATGTAAAGAATGTATCTACACGCAGATTAACGAACAAAAATTATTAGGATTAATCTATTTATATATATGTATAAATAAATAATTTAATTCAACATTTTTTTTTATTAAAATCAACTTGAACTAAATTAATTATTTATACATAAATAATTTAATTTCCTACATTCAATAATAAAGTAATTTATCTTACAATTAGTAATGTCCATTTCTATCAATGTAGATTATAACTTTAATCTCACAATTTAACTTACTTTCATCTTTTTTTAATTCTAAAAATTACAAGAATAAATTAAACCGAGATTAAAGTTAATTTACATTCGTAGAAATGAACATGAGATGTAAGATTATCTTTACCTGTTTGTTTATTCTTCGCGCGCACATTCCCACTAAAGATGACATCATGAACGACATGATGACAGCAATAGTTCAACTTGAATTTTTACGTATAGCTATACACATCATTGTCATCCGTGGTATCCTCGCTTCCTGTAAAATTACTGACAAATTGTATTGAAATTGATACTTTATTTGCAGTTCCGACAGACCTATTTACCCTGCATGAATTTCAATTCACTTACGAGCCACTCACGAGGACACTCCGTGATGATTCCGTGTACATACATCCGTGTGACTGACACTGAGTCGAGTAGGCGATGAGTGCATATTATGCTCATTTCTTTATTTTTTTTTTTTTTCATTTCAACGCCGATAAGTGCCACCGCGATTCATTCTCGGGCGATACTTCAATCGGCACTATGATATATGCTCGCGTTAAAAATATCCACCACGTTTTTCGAATAGACTTCTATAACTGCGTCATATTCAACGTCCGTTATCACTTCTTGGAGGAAAAGGCTTTTATAAGTTTGCGATTACAAACCTATATGATTAAAAAATATGCGCACATTCGTCGAGATGAACACAATGAATAAAGTCAGCATTGCAAAACTTAACGCGCAGTCAGAAATATGCATAATACGTAATATATATATATAAATTATTTCAAAAATTGGACGAGATACTTCGTTTTGAGAGAAACATGTAAAGATTTGTGTCAAGATTTGAAATAGCTTCCAATTGTAAATATAATACGTTTAATATATATTTATACTATTTATATTTATACGAGACATAATACGTTTAGTATATATTACGTCACGATGTAAATTCGCACTTCAACAATAATTTAAAAATCTTTGATGCAACTATATAATTATACCTATCTGTTAAATAGAGACAATCTTATATAATTAAACTCAAAATAATTCAAAAAAGGTTTGTCTTCTCATCAATATATATTTTAATCATATTGTTACAATCTCGCAAATTAAAGCATAAATCAAAATTTTTACTAAACGCACGAAAAAAAATGTAATCATGTACAGATGTTTGATGAATTATAAGATTGCATATATATATGCAAATGTACATACACGTGAATTACAGATTGCATATAATACCTAAATCATCCCTTATGTTTCAAAGATCATCTAAAATGCAACATAAATTTAAAAAGATTGATAACTAATCGTCAAAATTTGTATATTTCTCAAAGCAAAAACAAAACACATTTGGAAAGTGTATGCTTTATCTTATACAGAAAAACGTAATCACTTAAGCTAATTTTCTTTCACATTACATATCGAAGTTTCAATAAATTGCTCTCGAAATTACTATACGTATTTAAATAACATCTTTCCTCCTATGTAATGAAAAAATACTGAAGATTTCATACAAAATTATTGCACGTAGATAAAAAAATGAGATTCCTTCTTTTTAATCGTATGATAGATAAGAATCGCTCTCTTTAATTCTATCCACGCTATACTACACTCCGGATGAAAGTGTGACACTGTCTATCGTGATAATCCCTAAAAACGTAGAGTTTGCACACATTAACAATGCAAATGTGAAAAGGCGATATTTCGGCTAAAATCAATGTAAGTAAAGCAAATGAAAAGATACTTGTGAAGACGTATTAGTTAACGCACTATGGTGATTTAACATCAATAACGCTCGCGTATTTAATAAAACAAAGAAAAGTAACAGCATTTTGTCTATAGTGTTAAAATAAAAGGTACTGCTTTTTTTTTGTTTCGTAACGATAAAAAGCCGAATTTGCGACGCCAACTACTTAAAAGCTAAATCGATCGTTAAGAGTTCGCCCCGTAATGCCGAGATTCCCCGACAGGCTGTACATAACTTCGCTAAAGCTGCGATCGTCGACGTCCCCACTGGAGTCGGACGCGGTCGTGTTGTGCGTACGCGAGCGTGATCGTGATCTCGATCTCGAGCGTTGTCGGCTGAATAATGGTCGGCCAATCTGCAATTTCAACAAAGATATCAGTCGTCGTCTGAAGGAACGATTGAATATTTTAAGCCATTACATTTCAGGTAATCCCTTTTCTAACCTACTTTTGGGTTTTAAATTCGTATAACTCTTTAATTTTAAATCGCAATTTTGAAAGAAAAAGAGGATAAAAAGAATTGCTTTTTTTTTCTCAAAAATACAGTCGAAACTAAAGTGGGGTATCCGCAAAAGAAAAATTGAAAGTGATAACAGTAATTAATCCTTGTCATTTTACTGGTAAATATTCAAGTAATAAATAATTTCGTCTAAATTATAATTTTACTTCTTTTCACCTTTTCTCACTTTTATGAAGATAAAGGATAGTGAAAATTTCGCTTTTAGAATATTTTAAATGTTGAATTGTATAAAAAGAAAAATTTGTCACTCTTTTTCATATCTTTAAATCTATAATTTTTATTATAAATTACTCAAATAATAATTATATCGATTTATTCTACCAAAAAAGGTATCTAGAAACCATTTATTACTTGATTATTTCTCGCTAAAAAAGCAGGGTCATTTATATTTTTTTTTCCATTTTCAACGTTTTTATCTTTTTTCCTAAACATTCCACCGCTGACAAGCATCGCTGATTAGATTTTCGGAAAAAGCAACTCTGTTTACCCCTAAATATCAATACTGCAAACTGAATTAAATTGAAACGGAAAAGCGAATAGAGATCATCTGTAACTTAACGGCTAAAATAAAAGTAAGGAGAGAAAGAAACATAGATATGTGTATATTTTAAGCGTCTACAATTAGAGACTTAAGACTTAAGAAAATTGGCCAATCACAATTGATTATTCTTCTCACATAAAAACATGATTGGTTAATTTTCTTAAATCTTAAGTCTTAAATCTCATTGTAGACGCTGCATTAGAGAAATGTTAATCCAGAAAAATTTATACCATATTTAAAGCCTGTGCGCTTTGCCTGAACGGCGATCGTCCTCTGGTCATTTGTCGTGGGCTGGTGATCGTTGCAGGCTGTCGGCTCTGCACGAGGGTGAGTGGTCGCTGACGTGTGGCGGTAGGTATGTACTCGCTTCCCAGTGTGCACATGAAATTGACGTTTGGAGTAGGAGTCAATCGAGCGGCGCTACAACATATTATATTTTAGACATCCTGTCTTTCACGGAGAAAAAAAAATTAGCTCTCTGTTTTTTACGAAACAACCTCGGAAAGCTATCAATAAACTCTATATACATATATGTATATATAAATACTTATGTAAAATTAAATAAAACCAAAAATATCTTTCTCTACAATTTATATAAATTATTTATATAGTCATATGGTATACGAAAGAGTAACCATTCTAACGAATTAATTAAAAAAAAAACTTAAAAAACTTGGCAAAATAAATTAAAAATCGTATAGTAAATGGGTAAAGGAGCCACACAAGATAATACTGCTAATAAATAAAATTAATAAAACAAACGTTTCGACCTAATCCGTTAGATCATCGTCAGTGTAATCATAATATTGAAGTTACATTACAAAATTATACAACAGTCAAAATCTGATTATTGCGTTATGATTACTTATATTTCGACTATTTTATATTTTAAATGTACGTAAGTTTAATATTGCGATCACACTGAGAACTAATGCGAGATCAAAACGTCTTTTTCTTTTATTAATACTAATTTTAATTTTATTTGAATTATAATTTTATTCAATAGCACTAACATCTTGCTTGGCTCATTTGACTCATTTACTGTACGGTTTTGAATTAATTTGATTTAAAATAAATGTAACAAAGTGTATCATCTACTTCATTCGTAGGAGTTTCTGTTCGTATTGCGCCCGTCTCTGTGCGTGAGCGATCTGATCAGATCGCAGTCCACCGGTCATGAAGCGACGTTGCGACGTTAATATCTGCTGCCTTCCCAAAGTTCTCGGCTGCATCGAGAGCAGAGCGGTCTTCTGGCTGGCCTGTGCCATCTGTAATAATTCACACGCGTCATCAGTCAGTGCTTGATAAATAATTTTTACATAAGAACGTATGTCAGAATACACAATATACTCACTCTGAATTGATTCTGTATGCTCAGCCTTTGATTCTGCCTCTGCAACAGCAGCTGCTTCGCTCGTTTCACGCGATTTCGATAGGCGATCTGCGCGGGGCTCTGGTAACCCAGGCGATTGTGAACCGAGTTTGGATCTCGCAGATTCGGCAGGCTGTTCGTGCGCTTCAGCGGGCTGCTCTTGTTGCTCGTGAAAAAGCCGCCCTGATTGAACGTCAGGTTCGTGCGACTGCGGCTGCGGGTCAGGCCGCCCGCGCCCCCGAATCTGTTGCCTCTGCCACCGCGGCGCACATTGAACGCGCCTCCTCTCGCGCCTCCGTTCGCCTTCCGATTCAGGCTCAGGTTGCTGCGCGATCGCGCGAGATTGCCGTTCTTCCTGAAGCGATTCCGAGCGAAGCCGCCGCGAGCGTTGCCCGCGGTGTTTGCGTTACGTTGCTGCCAGATCTGCTGTTGCTTCTTCAGGGTGGGTGGTCCTCCTCCTCCCCCGACATTGCGCTTGATTCTCGTGCCTCTTCCTCTAAATCCACCCCGGCCACGTACGGCACCGCCACGATTGCGCTTAACGCCGCCGCCGCCGCCGCCGGTCTTTCCGCTGCTCGCCGCGCTCTTTTTCTTTTTCTCCATTTTTATGATCTCATCTTAAAAGGAAGAAAAGAGCGTCATTTAATGATGCCTCGGTATACGGCACGACAAACGTGCGACGACGGTGCAATCCTAATCTTTGCGAAATTAAGAGTCGAGAGACACTTAAAGCTAGATCTTGGCACGATCCCAGCATGAGAAGTGCGAGTGATTTGTTTCGAGTGAAATTTAGATCGTTTCGGCATCTATATATGCATCTCGCCGAAGACGATTGCTGAGAAGAAATATCATCGTATTCATAATCCCACAAAAAAAGGTTTTGCCTGCAAAAATATGCTTGTAAACACTACGTGGAATGCAATCCTCACGAATATATTTCTTTTGCGGCATGTATTTTTCTGTCCCTTATCAAAGAATTAAACAAAAGTTCTGATCGTTAAATTAGTAGATAATCGTTTCGGAAATCATTATCCTCGAGTTTTATATAAAAATCATACAATATTAACATTTAATAAGTTAAGTAACAAGGATACTAATTTACAAACATCATGGAAAAACAATTACAAGTAATGCCGATTTTTCTGAAAACCAATAAAATAGCTGAATAATTAAATATTAAAACCCAATAAAAGAATTAGTAAAAAACAAAAAATATAATTAAAAAAAAAATTAAATAACGTTTGATCTTTATCATCTGCTTTCAGAATATATTTAAGATGTTGATATGCAATTTTTTTTTCATTGCACTTTGATTTTCAATCTCTATCTCCGTTTGTCATCCGATGCTTTATACGGATCACTTTGAAGTGATGCGCGATTAAAGAAGGGACACGCCGGCGTTTCTCTCCGTTAATGCGACGTTGCTTCTCAGGGATCTACTTTGTCTTCTTCTTTTCGTTACTTTTAGACTTTTCTATACCGCTGAACCGCAGTCAGTAATTCTTCTTATGACGAGGCAATTCTTCCGTTCAATTGTTATCTCTTAATAGCATTTATACTTGAGAAGATTTTCAAAGAGCCCGCATATTAAATTGCCATGTTGATTTGATTGATACAAATATAAGTAACAGGTAAAATACAACATAATTCCGCTCCCCGGGATTGCTTGCAAACATCGAAAACGACCAAGACGTCATTGGAACATTATTAAAACCAGCTTGCCTACTACTTGAGTACCTGCATTTTCAAATTGCCAGTAAATATATTATATTAATGCATTGTCAATAAATTGTAAATTAATTTGGAGTAGCGTTCCACAGATCGTAGAAGGTAGAATTTAATTCGCGTCTGCAGGTTTCTCGTGCCAAATGGCTCGTACACGTCGCGCACGACGGGGGAGCGAAACAAAAACGAAATTCAATCGTTTCGCCGAATCGTTGCTCCGGTCGCACGAGCTTCTCGCGTAGCAGAGAATAAGGCATTGTGCCTGGTATATGCGTATCGCGAGAAAGAGTCCCGTTTCCCATATTTGGCAACCGCTCTCGTCGGCGAATGTAAGAGTCGCCCGCAACTGCAACGGATAAAAATACAGGATTGCGCAAGCAAGTGTCCCACACGCGAAAGAGAGAGCGTTGATTTTTTCTTGCGAGGGATGAGTCATGATCACGACGCTTGGCGCAGCCTCCCGAAATACTCCTCGGCACAGATCTGCTTTGTCGTCCATCGTTTTTCTCGTAATATATTGGAACTTGAAGCGTTTATCGGTGCTTTATTTCTCTCACAGGACGATTCCCCCAACGGGAATTAATCGTCGGGAAGATCGGCATGCAACGATTGGATTACGTAATAATGCATCGCGTTATTATCTATACCGGCAGCAGCGCGCCGGTTTATGAGCCCCTCTCGCTGCAACAGAAATCTCACTCCGACTTCTCTTCTCCGTAACTCGATCGCCGCCGTGGGTCATTCCATCGCCGTTGCAAGCCGGGAGGGTAGCGATTTTCCGGATGCCATTCGAAATTAGCGTTCAACGGGGTCGTCGTTGTTTGATAAATAATTTTCAAACGGAAAATCAATCAATGTGTACGTGATACAATTATACGATACCGAGCAACTTTGCAACTTTGATTCATGCGGCCAAAAAGTATTAAGTGTTTTATGTAGATGCAGTCGATGTAAAATTTCATCCGGACGATCCCAGGAGCGTCCGAGGCGAGAAATTCCTGACACACGTGCTCTCCCGATGTTTCCGCGATGATGCGAGTTTCCTGTCGCATAATCATAGACGTTGCTCTTTTCGTGCAATAAAAGGCAAGAGGATCGTAAACAATTACGATTGCGAGATACAATCGTTTATGGACGAATGCGATGCAGTTCTTCATAAAAGAGCTTCTGGCAACTGCTTGCCGTTATTACGCGCGTTTCCGTTCGTCGACATGCCCACGTTGCCTGGATACCTGGAGGCAAGCCACGGCTCACGAAATATAATTATTCGAGGCGAATAAAACAGTGTCTTACACACAACAATCTGGCGTCAAGTGTTGAATCTCGTTTCTCTCTTCTCGAGGCTAGTTGACTATACAATTGCGGAATATGATTATTTGAGGTGACTGCAAAACTCTGCAAAACTGTTCTGTACGTAACATCTTGACGTGAATTCTTCAACTCACATTCTCGTGTTCCGATTGCGTTTCCTGAATGCTGAGGCGCCCAAGTGTTTCTGGAAACCGGTGTCCTTCGAGGCAAGCGATCGCATGGATCGTCGAGTATGGGTTATTTGACGCAAATATAAAATTATGTTGCATAAGACGTCCCTGATATAAACTCTCGTTTTCCCGAGATACGCTCGCTCGCATTTCCCGTGAAGGTTGATACACTTGTATACTTGCTAGATACCGGCTTCTTCCCAAGACGAGCGCGGTCGCGAATGCGATTCAGCTGAGGCGAATGAAACGGTGCTTTATTTATCCTGGCGTGAATTCTCAGCTCGTTATCTTTCGTCTCTGGCATTTCAATCACATCTCCCAGGCGTAGAGGATACGCCTATGTTTTCGCGGACGCTGATTTCTTCCCGAGACAAGTAATCGCGATCGTGGAATACGATTATTTAACATAATCGTGGAACGACTCCCCTGCGCACGAACCTGCCGGCATGAACCGTCCTATCGCTCCTCGCTACTTCTATCGAATCTCCCGTCAATCTGCTAAACCCTCCTCCTCCTCCTCCTCCTGATGGTTAAATAAATTACGAACACAATCCTGACCGTGGAATCCCGTTTATCGCTCTTCTGGTGTCTCATTTTACGTTTCCCTTGTCCGTTTTCCTCCTGGCCTGGAAAGAGCGATCGCGGTCAGGTCGACGAAGCAACGATTGAGAATTACGTGACAACGAAACTCCGAGGAGACTCCCCGCCTTCTCCGCCGTTCTAGCTCCTCTTCCTGAAAAACGTGCGAGAACGTTTACGTTTCCTCCCACGCGATCCTGTTTTAACGAACGCGCCATCGAATCGATCGATCGATCGATCGGTGTGCCTCCACGAGACAGGTTATTTGTGTACCAACGACGTGCTCCGACGTGCTTCTACATGCGCCCTTCCAGCACCGGTTCTTCCTCCGGAAGAGATTAGGGGGGAAGGAAGAAATGACGTCTTCCTTATTGTAAAAGCGAAAAACAAATGCAGGTACTCTCTCTCTCTCTTTCTCTACGCATTACGTACGCAGGCATGTCGTAACGCACGTATGTATGTAACATTGGCGCCGACGCCATTTTGTCTCACAATACTCCCAACGCGGGAGGGACGCAACGTGGGCTCACATCAGCCGGGATTATTGGCGAAACGGTTAGACCGTCGGGACTCTGGCGACTTACCGAGCGACATGTTCACTTTCGCGTCAATCTCTGACATTTTTGCGGATTCTGTGCTCTCGCTCTCTTTCCTCTTATCTCTTTTTCACACACTCTCACTCTCTCTCTTTCTCTCTCTCTCTTTCTTTTATGTCTTCTCCGAAATTTCTCGTGCCAAGATCTCGCGCGTGTTTACAACGCGATGCGCGATACTCGTCCAACCGGTTCTTCCTGCTCGTTGCGCGACCTCGAATCTCCGTCGGCTCCGTCCGCGAACATCGACAACGCGACAAATTACTTGCGAGAACAAACACGACACAACGAAGACGCGAGACGCGGCCACACGGCACACGCGAGTACATACACAACCGCCGAGAACTGAACAACTGCTGATCGTCCGTCACCGTGACTGGTTGACCGTGGCGCGAGTGGCGCCGCGAACGGCCATGATGTCGAGAGAAATGAGAAAGGCGATATGTATTTCGCGGCGAGCTTCTCGATTGGTTGTCTAAGGGTGCGTTCCCACTGCGCGCGTCATCCAAATTGACCAATCAAAACATCTCATTTTATTGCGTTATTCGCCTCGCGATCCGGAATTTTATACAAAGGAAGATTCTTTTATTTCTAGAATGTTAAGGCGATGCTGGAAGGTAGAAATTACCGACACATTACAGTTTAGTAAATTTTTCCGAATTGATTGAACGGAATTGAAAATCCTTTCAGAGGATTAAAATAGATATAAAATTGTGATCTGAGACGGACGAATTTGTATTAAAATCGAAAAAAATTTTAAAAACAGCAATCGCCTAACGTAACATTTTATTAGTGTAAAAGTTGTAAAGCTGATATGTAGTACATACAAAATGCTTACGCCTCAGGTCATAAATTACATGAACGAATAATACAAAGCCTTTTGAGCTACGATTGAAAGCGTAGAAAAAAAGATATCCATTGAACTGTAATTTGTGATAATTCGTACGCATAACCAAATTACGGAATGGTAAAAACAGCAAAAATTGCGTCTAGTAGTAAGTGTTGGATTATGCAAGAGATGGCGTTTCAATAAGTTAAATAAGGACACAGAAGATATTATAAAAAGTTCATTTAAAGGTACCATTGAAATTGAACAGACTGTTTTATCGACCTCATGCAAATTTTTCGGACCTTCCGGCATTGCCTTAAGTAACCTAGAATTCTAGATTATCAGAGAAGCGCGACCGATGTTACGAGTTCTGATTGGACTCGCAAATGGCCAATCATAAGAGCGAATTTACATCTTGACAGAAAAGCGGAAAACACAAAAGCAGAAGCCAATCAGAACTCGCTCTGGTAGCAAGAAAAGCAGAAAGCAAAAACTATTAACTACCAATGCGAGTTCTGATTGGCTTCTGCTTTTCTGTTTTCCGCTTTTCTGTCAAAGTGTGAATCCGCCCTAAGATTGATTCATCGATATTATAAATGGCTGCCGAATGAATCAATCTTATGATTGGCCATTTAACGCCATTTTTAATATTTTCTAATACTTTTGCGATACTGCCATAAGCCGGTCGCGCTTCTCTGATAATCTAGGACTCTAGAATAACCTAAAGTCCTAGATTGTCAAAAAAGCGCGACCGGTGTTACGAGTTCTGATTGGACTCTCAAATGGCCAATCATAAGGGCGAATTCACACCTTGGCAGAAAAGCGGAAAACAGAAAAGCCAATCAGAACTCGCGTTGGTAATCGATAGTTTTTGCTTTCTGCTTTTCTTGCTACCAATGAAAGTTCTGATTGGCTTCTGTTGTTCTGTTTTCCGTCAAGGTGTGAATTCGCCCTAAGATTGATTTATCGGTATTATAAATGGCTGTCAAATGAATCAATCTTATGATTGGCCATTCGACGCCATTTTTAGTACATTTTTAATATTTTCTAGTACTTTTGCGATACTGCCATAAGCCAGTTGCGCTTCTCTGATAATCTACGACTCTAGAGTAACCTAATCGATGCGTCGCACAAAGAGTCGCGCGGCAAATTATGCAATAAAATGGCATGTTTTAATTGGTCAATTAGAATAACGCCGCATGACGCACTCAGTAGAAACGCACCCTAATAGGGAATTAGGCATGGTTGAAAACCTTTGCTCTCGGTAGAGTCCCAGATAATCAGAAAAACGCGATCGGTATTAATCACAAAACACAATAAAGGCTCCTGGACGCGGAAATGCTTGCCGTGCGGCAAAATGCGAAATGATAACCAATGGACGTATTATCTTTTTTAAGAAGCTGTAAACTTATTGGCTACCGCGTCGCATTTTGCCGCGAGGCAAAAATTTCCGCGTTCAGTGTGAAGAAGACCTAAATGTAGTAAGCCTTAAGCCGTAAGAAATGGACCAATCGCAGTCAAATGCGATGAGAATAATCGATTAGTCCTGAAACACAAGAGGTGTAGTAAGCCTTAAGCCGTAAGAAGTTGACCAATCGCAGTCGAATGTGAAGAGAATAATCGATTATGATTGGTCAGTTTCTTACGGCTTAAAGCTTACTACATCTATTGTGTTTGGGACTTACCAATTCTGATTGGATCGCAAATGGCCAATCATATGATTGATTCATCGGTATTATAAATGGCTGCCAAATTGATAAATTTACATCAACAATTGTTACGGTAAATTAGAACATTTTAGTTGCATGCAAAAAAGTGTCGTAACAATTCTGTCCACAAGTGTACTGTCTCTAAACTAAAGAATTAAACATTGCGATTCGCATTTGCAAAATATTAGTTACCTATAAAATATATATTAATATATTAAATATATACTAAAAAATTTTATCATTAAGGATATATCTCATAATCCGTCTGCAATTTGACGCCATTTTTAATATTTTTTAGTACTTTTGCGATACTGCAATAAGTCCGTCGCGCGCAGTTTTCTCTATCTAGGACTCTAGGCTCTAGGTAATGCTACCAACCTAAATATACTGCTACAAAATACAAACACACGAATGTTGAATAAACGGGTGAAAATCAAAGTGCCGAAAGTATTGTCCCCGGTTGGAGGCTAAATAAATAGAAGAATTTGCTATAATCATGATCGAATTTACTGGCGTACTGTTGACATATTGGTAGCATTTCTCTATATGGATTTAAAATTTAAATGAAAAAATGTTTGAGGATTTTAATCAATATGTGAACAAATCTAACCTTCGAAAGATTTCTTGTACATAGCAATTACAATGATATCAGAATACCGAACTGTCAAGTTATATCAGTTATGACTCAATAACAGTTATAAAGTAGCAAATACGAAAATAACATCATTAGGTACGTGTAATCAAAACAATAGCATAAGAGAGATCAACTCGCGTTATAGGTTATAACGTACCAGAAATTTGACGTTTATATATTAAATTATTATATTTACAGTACAATAAAGTTATAGTAAAAAAAAATATTTATATGGTGTGATAGATTATATTCACATGATGGGAAGAACATCCAACAAACATTTACCTCCCTCTCGTCATAGACTTTCTATGAAGAAAGGATGGGTTAAAAGGTTAGTATCTTCAATTATATCATCACATATGAAACTGTTTTATTGTCATAAAATGTTATACATATTACTGTGTGTTCAAATAACAAAACGCTAGCAATTCACTGGTAGATTAGTAGCAAATTCGCTCAGGTTTCCACTGCAGATCCATATAGCAATTTGTGTTTCATGTTAAGCTCATGATAAAAATTGTTTATTGACTCACATTTTAGAATGAAATAGAAATTAGAAAAAATTAAGTCTAACAAACGATTAAACAACAATGTTTTAACATAATTGTATAATTTTATTCAGTAAAATTAAAGTGGAACATTTCAACTTTACTAAGTTTTCTTCAGCTGCAACTACAAAATTTTCAAATTATAATTAATTCATTAATTCTAGTTGGAGAACACGCAACGTTTCCTTTTCAGTGTGAGTCACGGCAGCAAGTCCAAGACTCAAAATTAAGACTTGATCTTGATAAAATAGATACTAGAAATCACTCATCAGCAACAGCATTTTGCTCACATGTGTCTATCTTTTATATTTCCTTGTATTAATCTTTCAGTTTATGTTTTATTACATATTTTTGTGCTTTAATAATTTTTAATTTCACTGTGTACTGCAGATAAGCAAAACATGCAATCTATTGCGTCATACTATTTAATTGCTTGTGATATTTTTTCATGTAGAAATTGGCATTGTACCTGTATAATATGAAGGGAACATGCTATTTTTCAATGTCATTTACCAATTTTTTCTTATAATATAGAGTATCATTCAATTTTTTGTATTTGTGGTATTGTATTGTATTTGTTGTATTTGTTTTACTACTTAAATATATATACAAAATTGAATATTTCTAGTGTTATTAATCAGAAGAGGAAGACGCAATATTTATCCTCTCTTTTTGAAATAACAGGCTAATAAATTAAAGTACCAAAATTAATATTTAGGGTCAGATCTTTATTTATTATGAATAAATAAAGATCTGACCGTAAATATTAATTTTGGTACTTTAATTTATTAGCCTGTTATTTCAAAAAGAGAGGATAAATATTGCGTCTTCCTCTTCTGATTAATAAACACTAGAAATACTATATTCATAATAAATAAAGATCTGATCGTAAATATTAATTTTGGTACTTTAATTTATTAGCCTGTTATTTCAAAAAGAGAGGATAAATATTGCGTCTTCCTCTTCTGATTAATAAACACTAGAAATATTCAATTTTGTATATATATTTAAGTAGTAAAATATCAAATAACAAAATATACTAAAGACGTAAAGGATTATTTTCCAAAGGATCCACATTTTATAGAATTATATACGTAATGAATATGTTACATATGTGATACATTTCAAATATCAGTATTTTATAAAATGTTTTTCTGTACATTTTTTATCTTGTATACTAATATTTTTATTTATTTTTTTTGTTAGACGGCAACTGTTAAAGCAAATGAAAGCAGCCTCGGAAGCAGCCGAATCTAAGGCTTTCGACAATGAATCCAACGAGTTAGCAAGATCACCCGATTCGACGAATACGAGAGAAATTAGTACCCTAGAAATAGATCCGAACACAAAGCCAATAAGTATAGGTACATACGAAAATGTTCAAATCTGTGAGGATAAAGATCCTCTTGTTATCAACGAGAAAGACCTTTTGGGTTTCAATCATATTCAGGAGCACGAACCCAAAGGTGATCGTATTATAAATGTTTCTTTCTTCTTGAAAGAGATGCATAGAGCATTCGACAGTCATGTACAACAACTTAAGTGCCAATTTAAAGATTGGATTCTCATACATTCTCGTCGCCGTGGGTTACTAACGCAGTTCTTTTTCAAATGCCAAGTTTGTAATCACGAAGCGAACTTTTGGTCGCACCCCACAGACTGCAAAACCTTGGACATCGTTACGGCTGAAACCATCACGATTAGAATTGGTTATACCTAACTGGAACATGCGAATATACCATATATGATTGGGGAAACGTATATCATCGGGAATTTATAATATATAAATAAATTTTTAAGAAAATAACTATTGAAAATATGGGAATGACAAACGAAGTAAAGAAAACGCGGAAATAAAATAATCAACGACATTCCGTATAATATACTGATATTTATATATAATTTGAAATGTCATTAGCATCCGTGTCCCAGAAACTGTGACGAGTGAATAACCGAAAACCTGTTAAAAATTGTTGACTGCGCCTATACTTTGGCGAAAAATGTAACTTTATGTATTATATGACATTTTTAAATAAAAAATTGAAAAAATTGGAATAATATTGCATTAAATAGTACCAAACATATATTATTAATTAATAAAAATAATTAATTCAAGGTAAGACCAAAGATGAGCGATTGCTAATTAAATTTAGAAAAGTTGTTAAAACATTTGTATATTTTAACGAAGTTAATCAATTCTACCAATAATAAATATCAAATTAAGGAATAAATTTGAAAAATATTTGCACAATGTAATTATTATTATACATATATACATAAGATACGTTAAAAATAAAAAGTAAATATTTCAAGCAAAATATATAAAAAGTACATTTATAATTAATTAGAAAATTAAATTAAGATTTAATTAATTATAATTAGTTATCTGCGTATGTGTGTATATAGTTCAATTTATGTAATTTATTTAATTTTACTTTTATATCTTTATATATAAGGTGTTTCATTTTAATTGAAACAGTCGATTATCTTGAAAATAAAGTATTTTCAGAAAAATGTTTCATATAAAAATTCGCGCATATTTCACAGCAATATTATATAGTGCATTCTTGGATAGTTAAAGTCACTTAAAAATTACTTTGAAATTTTTAAAGCCCTATTTTTTTATTGCATATTTATGTAACTGACATCGAGAGCTTTTTAAAGCACTATATAAATAAAATTATTATTCATTAGATACTAATTAATGTATGTATATGCGTTTTTTTTTAATGTATGCTTCTTAAAATTTTTGTAAAATTGGCATAATAAACATATGCCTATCACAGATCCAAAATATATTATGGAAACAAAAGGGAAGTTGTCGGAATAATGTAGACTAAACAATAATATATTGCAACGTGTATCAATAAACGGTATTTCGTTTTTGGATCAATATTTACATAATTTTTTCCATCCTTATTGTGAATACATTCCTAAAATTTGTTTATTCATTATCTTACATACCTCTTCTGTACATATCCCAGATTGCATAGAGAGTTCAAAAAGAACTGTCATATGTCATCAATTCTGACTTCATTTTCAGATGCAAAAAGATTTGTTTTTCTAAAAATTTTAAAAAAGAATTCTTTTTGCACTTGAAAATGTGCTCAGAATAGATGATATACGAATAAATTAGTTTTGAACTTTGTGTACTATCTGGGATTTTTGTATTATATAGTATATATTTGCATTTTGTACTAATTGAAGGATAGATTAGGTTAATGAAAAAGATTGCTTATATTTATCAAATAGGGTTGAAAGTTTCGTGAAATTCTTTCTCATCCAGAGAAACTTTTTAGCTTCTTTTCGAAAATTTTAATTTTTGTAAAAATTTATTTATTATAAGGCTTGAAGAAAAAAGTGTTAACTTAATTGTTATTTTACTCTTAAATTGGTGTACTTTTTCTAATATATCTAATATTTATATATTTCTAACAATAAGATCAAATCTACAATATTCTGTTGACATGAGTTACAATTATAAATTTTTTGTTATTTAATAATATAATAAAGGAAAAAGATTGTAGAATATGAATATTTAATTATAAAAATCTTGCTGTAAAGAGTTTTACTGAATTAATTTGTAGTTGATTAAATCAAAATTTCAGAATCAAATTTAAGTCACCCTTTGTGTATAAAAAAAATCATTATTCGGCTGCTCTAAGTAATTGTAGATTTTTTTGTCTTTTGCAGATATTAATATCCGGAATAAAGAAATACAATAAATATTAAAGAAATATCAGAAATATAATACGTTCATGAAAATACGTATGACAACACTCCGGATAATAAACATGTTCCACGTGAAAAATTAAAGGACAGAACTATGGAAAGTTCTGAATTAATGGCAGATGCACGCTGCGTATGCTTCTTCTTTTCTCAATTGAACTTTGATTTGAAATTATTAAATGCTTTGACTGAAAAGATATCGATTTATTTCTTTTTCCTAATCGAATTATCAGCTCAAAATAATTGTTTTGTTTCATTCGCGAAGATGTGCTTATTTGCATCTGAACAATCCTCTTCTCTTCATCGCGAACGGCAAATTGTCAACAGTGAATGGGGAGGATATGCCTTGGATTTAGATTTATGGGAAGACAGCAGATCACCCGTGGTACAGATAAGGCCGTGCGAAGTGTTATTGGACGACTGGGAGAGTTTCGGTTTTCTATCCGACAGATTGATAGGCATCGGCTCATCCTTCTTGAGGAGATCACCCGAAAACGGTCTCTTTATTCTTAGCAAATGCGTCCTGGAAAATAGAGTACTGTCGAAAATTCTACAATTAGATCTAATAAGCAAAAATGTTAATATAAATTCTGTTGGTAGAACGAGAGCAATCTGCTCTCAGATTACGTTAGCAGGCTCTGCCAGCCAAGTTATTTCAATTTTAATGTTACTACATTTAATTTTTAATCAATTCCATTTGATTTAAAATAATATCTAATTCTTCTTTAATTTACAACATAATTTTAGCATAAATTTTTAGCGAATTTATTAGTATTTAAATAAATATTAAATATTTTACCATGTAAACATTTTTAAATTATAATTTATATATAAAACATGGGAGACTCAACGCACAGTTAGCATAACACAATTGATGCCAATTTAGCAATTTCTAATCGAATTTGATTCGCCAATCTGCTGGTATATACCGCAGAGTTGATTTTATGAGTAAATGGCCCATGAAATTATAAATCTCGCAAGCAAATTCTCTTTTATTCTTGCTTTCGTTCTGCCGACAAAATTTATAGTGGACACTTTGCAAAATTCTGTTTTTAAAGGATTATATATCTATATGTAATTGGATTAGCGATAATATTCGATAGTGCAGCTGCTTTTTGTTTTTCAGGGTCTCACGGATATCACTGTGTTGCGTTATCATCGGCACTTGCAATATATTAATATCGCTAGCAATAATATATCGTGTTTGTCACCTCTAAGCGGCCTTCCATACTTAATGTACTTAAACGCGTCGCACAATCAAATTGAACACCTGACGAATTTTGTATCGCCTTGGTACCTCACTTACGTAAATTTATCTCACAATCAGATGACGGGCATTGACGAACTTAAGAATTGCTGGAGCATCGTCAGATTAAATTTGTCTCACAATATTCTAGAAAGCATTTCTGGACTGGAAAATTTGAAGTAAACGCATATGTATATATTGTCGAGGCGCGATCTGTATTTGCAGTTTGTATAATTTATTCTTTTTTTTTGTAGACATTTACAGTATTTAAACCTGTCCTACAATCTTATCGCATGTATCGAAAATTTGGATGGTCTGAATATACGGGAATTAAACTTAGAAGGCAACTGCATTACATCATTCAAATCTGCCACACCTGGCCATGGCATAAACACGTTGCATAGACTGCGAATAATCCTCCTAGGATACAACAAACTGTCGACTCTAGATTTTTTCAAAGTGATCATCGTGAAGGAGCGGATTGCGCGCGAAAGTACTCCTGGATCTCGTTTTAATTATACGATTTTTTAGGATGCATACGGTTTACGCTTCGTAGATCTGAAGTACAATAAAATTTCGGACCTAATGGAAGTGTTGAATTTGAAGGGCTCAATATCTGAGGTTGACTTTAGAGGCAACACCTGCACGAAGTGGCCCAATTATCGAAACTTATTGATATATTCTATACCAAACGTTAAATTTATCGACGGCGTTGAGGTGTTTCCGGAAGAAAAGGTATAGTTGATTTTAATTACGTACATAAAATTAATAATATTAATATAAAAGGAAGGATTTTTTATTTTAAAAAAATATAAAGTAAATTAAAGCTAGTCAGCGAGAGCCAGAACGGTTCAACGGTGCCCAAAAGTATATATTAACAATTATTAAAATAAGTACATTACAAGACGAACGTTTCAACTCTCTTTGGAGTCAGCGTATAATTTAATTGAATTTTGAAGTACGGTAATTGATCCTCGTTTCTAACACGGATTTAGTAATCGCTAGTGACTCGTCCGTGTCTGACCCTCACTAGTCTTAATTTACTTTGTACATAAAATTAATGCAAAAGGTTTGTCTTTCGGATTTCTTTGGAAAGAAGATTGAAAAGTATCTCTCTAAAAAAAAGATATAAGTTATAATAAGATTAAAAGTTAAAAAAAAGAACCTCATAAAAAAAGTTTTCTCAGAATTCTATAGACATATAATTTTGAGAAATTGTATATAAATTTCAAAATTTTTAGACCTTTCTTAATTTTTTTGAAACTGTTTTAAATTTTTTATACGAATTGGAATACTTTTCAAAAACGTGCGGAGAAAGTATTTTTAAATTTTAAATATTTCAAAATTCTTTATATATTCGTGAATTCTGAAACATTCTAAGATTTCTAAGAATTTTCATTTTATAATTTCCGAAGAAAATTTATAAAATCTGAAGAAGTTAAAGAGAATTTAAAAAAAAAATTAATATGAAAACCTAATCGAGAGCGCGAAAATTTAAACAAAATTATATTAATAAAACGCCAAAAATGTAAAGCGGATCTTAGTGCTTAATAATAATATTTTTGTGTGAATCTTACATTTCCTGTTCATGTAAACTATGCGCCGAATATTTTATCGAATTTAAAACAGCTCCAAACTGAATTCGGACTATGTACTTAATATACATATATTACAATTAAATTGACAAGCAACTTAATAATTTTTGATACTAATGAGCATCTTATTAAATTCTGTAAAATAACTTGTTGCGAAAAATATTACTTAAGTTATAATTTTAAGCCTCGATCTCTTCGGGCGGATGTCCAATCGTTCGACTACCAAGACATGTGATAATATTTCGCGCAATAACCAGAGTACATGTAGAAAGAATTTTTGAGGAATACAAAAATCTTCATAAATTTATGATATAAAAATTTTTTAAAAATATTATAGAATATTATAAAACTTTCAGCAGAGTACCGAAGTCTATATTGGCAATTCTGTTTTTAGTCTTAAATTTTATTCGACAGACACAAGGCGAATCGTTTGCATAATATATAAAATTGTCTAATGTTATGTATAATTATTGTAAATAAAAATATTTCCCAGATGACATCGGCTACGCTGTTTGCTTCGCCAATGGATTTGATAACTGTTCGTAAAGTAGCAAAATTAACATTATTGGAGCAGTTAAACATCAGCAAGATAGGCGCACACGTTCAACCGTACGATGAAATCAGCCCTCCTCTGATGATACTCACAGGACCGTCGGCGCTGAAGAAAATGGCATTGGCCTTACACGTGGCTGAAACGATTCCTGACAAAGTAATTCTTGCAATATTCTTCCTCGTTTTAAAGCTCAGTCTCTCCAAAAAAACAGTAGAATATAATTTTGCAGGTAAAATACTGCCATTGGCATACTACGAAGGAGGTCTACGAAGACGTTGACGAATGTAAAGCGTACATACCTGTAAACAGAGAAGAATTTAACGACATGGCGCGACGCGGCGAATTTTTAGTGATTCTGGATCTTTTGGGCAATTGTTACGGATTCCGTTAGTACAATATTATTCATATTAATTTATATGAAAATACTGTGTATAACGTTTGTAAACTCGTGAAAAGGATTTCATGTCATAATATTTTTAAAAATTTTTTATATTTGAAAACGTACATAAAAATTTTTGATTAAAAAAATAACTATTTTAAATTTTTCTTCGGAAATTATAGAATAAAAAAATCTCAAAAAATATTTCAGAATTTACATATATAGTTTTAGAAAAGATGTAGATTTCTCAGTTTACATCTTTTCTATATTTCTATAAAGTGTTCCAATTTATATAAAAAAATTTGAAAGATTTTCTAAAAAATTATAAAATTATATAGAAATTGTGAAAAATTTTGAAATTTAAACATTCTGAAAATTTCTAAAACAAATGTTCACTATATTTGGATATTTTTTACAGATGTAAATCAAATCAGTTTATTGATATCTGAACATAAAATTGGACTTACTCAAATGAATCTATACGCAGTCACAGAAATTTCTAAACGATATCCGAACGTGAAGGCGATTTTGGTGTTCACACAAAGCATTGATCTTCACAGAGACTGGATACACGAGAAATTTGACGTTTATACGTGGATTAAAAATAGCGTGGAAAATTTGTTGAACGTTAAAATAGGCAAGCATCAAGAGGAAGAAACGGAAACCGCTAATTGCATATTAAGCTTTATTGAAGAAATTTTGGATGAGGTTCGACTCGAGCTTACGTAATTTCCTACAATGCGATCCCTGGTGAAAAAAATTCTCATAACTCATATTTTTAAGAATTTTTCATATTTTAAATTAATAACGATTAAAAAAAAAAAACCTTAAATTTTCTTCTAAAATTAGAGAATACGCAATCTCTTAGCACATTTTCAAAATTATTCATTTATATTGTATATATAAAAAATTCTAAGGATGTAAATCTTATCAAGATTTCAGAAGTTCTAATTTGTCTTAAAAAATCTAAAAATTATAAAATCAAATGGAAGTTGTGAAATTTGTAGAAATTCTAAAAAATTACGCGAAGAATTCTAAGAAAAATTTTCACCAGGAAAGTGAACTTCATCGCTAAATTCCGTTAAGTGTGCATGTGTGTTAGATAATGAACCGTCTAGTATTTCCAAATTACGGCAACACTATGAGACCACAAAGAAACGGGGCGACAACAACCAATATAATATTGCAAAGTAAGACAATGCTACCGAAAGTCATATTACGAAGGAGTGAGGCAATATCACAGGAAAGATTGACATATTCACCTGAAGAAACGAAGCAGATGGAAGAATTAAAAGTACGAAGCGTAACTTTTAAATGTGAAATTTGAATATCTCTTATCAGCATCGGTAAATAGGTATTATTGGATGAGGAATCGAATATTATTATCGACGATGAAGAGATGAAACGTGAAGAGCATAGATCGAGGATGTTGCAACGTCGAACTATGTTGATGACGGATATACCTGACCCTGAGTTCGATGACCATGATCTCAGCGAATCGACGTCTTCCGAAGAAGCAACGGAAATTGTATACGTCTGAAATAGTCTTTCAAAAAAGAATTATTAATCTCATTCTAGAAGTTTGTTATCGTTATTTTAATTGATATGAGGTATCTTTATGCATGAATACATGGAAAGAATAACGGTAATAAGAATTGCTCGATTAAAAAAATATATATATTATAGGACAATTTTTTGTCAACTGTTTATCCGTTATTCTCTTATTCTATATAAATATAATTTTCATATGTAGCAGCAGGAGAAGTTAACGCACGAAGAAAAGGCAAAAGCACTAAAAGATACATATGCCGAACTTGTTATAAAAAATAGAAAATTATATTTGGACTATCACGAAAGCCATCCTGGCTTCTTTACTTTGGTGGTAATACATTGTTTCTATAATATTAGTTTTAATTACCGTATCAATATCATACATCCGATATGAATTATTATTGTGTTGCAGCTCATTATAGATGATTATGCGAAAACTTTTAACTCATTAATCGACTACATTCGTGAGTCATATATGAATCTACCTTACAGGAAGTCAATTTTCTTATCAGAAATGCAGCATTTCAGGCGTATGGCAATTCCAGTCGCGCTTGAAAGTATCGTTGATGAGATCAGAGAGTGAGTATATGAAATTCGTGCAAAGTTTTAATAAAGTTGTTTACAAATTTACTTACCATACAGAACAATTTTTCTCCGTTACAGAAACTTATCAATATCTAAACTCCAACGCAAGAAGATTATTAAAATTATAGGGGATTGTTCTTCGCAAAATAATGCTCGTGATTAACTGTAGGAAAACAAATTAAAATATAAATGATTATACAAAAAAATCTAAATATGTATGCATGACATTTCTTATTAACACAACGCGCAAAATAAAGTTTGACCAAATTTTAGAAACAATTTGTATAACATGTATATTTCAAGTTACACGTCAGAAATGTACATACAAGACTTGGTTTGGTTTGCACGTGTGCGTTTTGTACTAAAAATCCATAGTTTGTGCTTTAAAGTATACTAATTAAAACTTATCCATTCCTAAACGTTGTATGTACATTCTACTAGTTATACAAAAAACTATAATAAATTATACGTTAAACCTATTCGACTTACAATGTCAGCGGCATAAAGTGGAAGATGTGTAGCTTAAGATAATAATTTAAAGTTATATATAATATAGATACAATTAGTGCACATCTCATTCCATCTGCAATATTTCATCTATATCTGAATCCAGATCAGAATACTTTATTTCGCTTTTACGTTGAACAATGGCGGGATCTTTATCTTTCAGAGTTCGCGGAGCTGGTTGTGGGAATATGTTGTCTTTCGCCTTTGGACTTGTAAAACTCCGCATAGGACTGTCCAAGATCGAGCTGATAAGGCTGGTCGAGTTTAACAACTGATTCCCCGCATTATAATTTGTAAGATCCTGCGAGCTCGTGTTGAATCGAAACATTGTTTCAACCGATCCTACAGGTGGCTTCCTCGCTATGCTCAACTGAAAAATAATTTACATTATTGTCGTCAACAATATCATTTCGTCGTACTACGTGTACATACATCAATTACACGTAGTACAATGACTTTACCTGCTCCTGTATCTTCTTGGATATTTCCGCGATTTTATCGCTTTGCGAAGTTTTTAAGACAATATTGCCTGTGCTCATAGACTTCTCCTTCTGCAACGCATATTCTCTCCTATCAGCAAAACTTAATAAAAATAACGATCAATTAGATATTTAAATATTAAAAAGATATAAAAATTATATATATAATTATAAGAATAAAAGTTGCAATATAAAATCTTTAGTACCTTGCGATGTTCCAGTCGTTGTTGTTTATTTGATTTTTTCCTTGATCATTCTCCTGTACCGTCGTACCATCATTTCTTTTGTCAACCAAATCGAATAAGACTTTCTTCTTTACCAAGCTACCGGCTGATCCGCTTGTCGGTTTCAAAACACTTTTATTATTTTTCGAAGAAAGAACTAAATTGTCGTCTTGCTGTACAATCGTACTGTCCGAGTCGTTGTTTTCGGACAATTTCAGCGCTGCCGCTTGTTTCCTGCTGATCGGAGAACTCACTTTACGCGCGTTAGTGTCCGACACAATTATCTTCGTAGGTGAAATCTGTCTTATATCCTCTCGAGAGTCAATGGAGCTTGCGGAGGAAATACTTGGAATCGTTTTCGGATATGTCACTTTCGGACTGACGTAAATGTCCGTTTTTTCACCTTTTTTCAGTGGCGATTCGCGCGTATTCTCATACACCTCGTCGTCTTTATATTTTTTAGGAAGGAGCTCGATCTTTTGCTTTAGACGTAATTTTAACGGTGTTGTATTTTCTGTTTTCTGGACGGATGTGTATTCGCCTAAAAAACGAAAGATTATATATATATACTTTTTTAAATGTAATTTTAACTGTTTACACTGTTTATAAAAGATTTAATATAGAAAATATGATTACCACTGTCTTTGCTGAACGCTTTCCATGCCTTCGATTTAGCATGAGTAACCAGCTTATCTAATGGCGAACTTTTCGAAAGCGTGGAATACCTCGATTCCTCATGATTTTCCGATATCCTTTGAAGAACATCTTCAAGTATTTTTTGTTTGATTTGGCTGTACCGAACCAATTTCTTCGCATTAATGCTTTGCTGATGCCTTACAATCTCCATCTTTTGCTTATATGTTGCAGTAGGTATTCCCTGCCATTCAGGATCGATTCCCAATTCTCTCAGTCGATTATCAAACATACTTCGCGCGTCTTCCTGAATCGACATTTTTCTGTCATTGAGAGGCTTAACCGCAGGCGTTTCATACTTTTTTGCTAAATCATCGTCCGTTGTGACACTCTCACTGTCGGTCCCCGACTCCGACATCGATGACAAAGATCCCGATTCTGTCGCGGAACTTACGCTACGCCTTTCTAAGATTTCGGATCTCTTATTGTTTCTCACATTGTCGGTATGTAATTTAGTTTCCTTCTTTTCCCTGTTACCTACGTACTTTTTGTTTACATCAATAGAACTTTCTTTAGCAATGACACTTTTATTTGCGTGACCGTTCACTTCTTGATTCGTATCATTCAACGCGTCGTAACGCCTCGCATTATTTTTCGTTTTCTTAGCGCCTTCCGATCTGTTCGATTTTTTCAAATTAGGCTTCACAGCCGAATCTTCTACAGTCCTGCTGTCTGTAATAATTTTCTTGTTATCCTTGCTTTTTACAGTATTGCTATCTCTACTAGGCATATATTGGGTTTGCGTCACGACTGGCGTCAATTTGTCACTGTATTCTTGACTAGATTCACTATCAATATCTTCAATCACCATCTCAGGATTCTCATTTTTACGTGAACTCTTGTAAGTTTTGCTCTCATTGTAACTGTTATCGTGTTTTATCGTTAGTAAAGGCGATTTATGGAATTCTGCTACGTTCTTCTCCTTAATTTTGTGACTATTGGTCTGCGAATTACTGATCTCGCGTGACAAGTTGTTCAATTGCTTTCTCTGTTCCACCAACATGCTGGATTGATCCATAGACTGTCTCTCTAGATCGTGCACCTTAGACGCATACTCGGACTTTATACGGTCAGCTACCTGCTGAGTTGCTTTCAACTCTGTGGTCAATTTCTCGATATCCTGACGATGCTGAGCTTCCATGTTTTCCATCTTGGCCCTCCAATGTTTCTCTTGCGTTTGTAGTTTTACCTGCATATTTTCCATGCCTGGAGTCAGCTGGAAAAAAATTATCCAATTAGCACTGGCAAAAAATAACGTACGACAAGAAATTCTCATTTCTTACTCTTTCGAGAAGTTGATTTCTCAAATTCTCAATCTCTTTCTCTTGCTGACTGATTAGAGTTTTCACATTTGTCTCCAGGATATTCTCATTCACAACGTGATCCTTTTCTCTCAATGCCTGCAAGAAGGTTTCTAGTAATTTATGAGAAATATATTGCAAAAAGAGAATGAGTTAATAGTTAATTTAAATACTCACGCGTATCTCATCGAACAGCATGCTCTTTAAACTTCCGATATCTTCTTGGTATCTTCTTTGCTCCTGAAATCTATCCACTTTTTTGCCAATGTCATACTCGTTCCTGCTCACGTTTCTTGCATAGTCCTTTTCTGTGTTATCCAGCAGTTTGTCAGATTCATTTCTTATCACTCTTTCAGTTTGATTCAGCCTTTCCTTCAATGTTTTTATTTCGTTGTGCAATTTCTCCGTTTCAGCTCGGTAATGATCGTGCGCAGGAGACGCGGATACACCCATGTCTGATATAAACGAATGTTTGCGCGCTACATGAGCATTTACAAATATAGCACGCACAAATGTTTTCGGGCAATGTGGACACTACAAGAAATCTTGCAATTAAAATCTCGAGAGTAAATTACGATTAATTTATTATTTCAATTTATACAATTTATGATGTATAATTTATGATGTGTAATTAACAGTCAATTTATAACAACTTATAGTCAACAGATTATGTCTTATTATCAATTGTCTGATATGTTCATTGAAATAATTCATCTTGTAAACCAGCGATTAAATCTCGAGAGTAAATTATGATCAATTTATAATTTCAATTTATACAATTTACGATATATAATTTATAATGTGTAATTGACAGTGAATTTTTAATTTATAATCAACAGATTGTATCTTTATTATCAATTGGATAAGTTCATTGAAATAATTTACCTTGTAAACTTCCCCGTTGGAAATTTCACCGACGCTAGTTTCAATCAGTTTACGTTTCTCCTTCGTTCTCTCCTTCAGATTCTTCACAGTATCTTCTAGAGCAGAGATTTCCTTCTTCATACCGACGTTCTGCTCTATCTTCTGCCTCAGCTCGTCCTTCAGTATTATTACACTGTGATCCAAATACTGTTTGCAATACAATAAATACTCGACCGACAGTTGCGCGAGTCTGAACAACTTGACGAAGTTAGGATCCAAGATCTTGACGTCGTACTCGCTCTCCAAGCAATAATCTATTACATTATTGATGTTCTGATCGATAGTCGAGAAATCTCTTTCCCGTGTAACTCTATCGATGTCTATAGCACCTGCCGATGGAAGAACAGAAATTATCGCGGTAATTTGCAATAAAACTTGACAAAAAACTTTGTTGAGTACAGCAAGTACGTCCAGCTGGCTTACCTATGCGATTCCAGTCGACTCGCACTCTAGACCCGTGCATATTGAAGTAAAATCCTGATTCCCTGGCGAGTTTCGGGAAATCGTGGCACCAATTGGTACCGGCTCGAAAGGAGAATGCCATTATTTACAGACGTACTTGCGTAGCGCGTGACTTGGATTACTCGGAAAGAGGAAAAAAAATTCTTGAAGGGAAAATCTCACATTCATCGTTCGTTTATGTATTTACGAGTACTCGCGCGTACTCGTGTGAAATTTCCACTGCATAATCGCGTACAATTGTCCACGCACAATCCGTACAACTTCATTTGCAATTGCAATTTAAAGCGATGTAATAAAGCTGAGATAAAACGGCAAGTGTCAAAGCCGATGTAAATCAGTGTAAATATAAACAAAGATTAGCGTCGGTCGCAAACGCCATCTGCAAAAATCTGTTGGAAATAGTTCACCGAACCGTGGATGTTAAAGGTGAGTTCCCACCGGACGCGTCACAAATTAAATCAACCGAAATATCCCATTTTATTGCATTTGCCGCGCGATTTTTTACGCATCGGTTAAGGTTACTCAATCATCACTCATTCTAAAGATAAAAGAATTTTTCTTTGTATGAAATTCCTGATCGCGCGGCAAATTACGTAATAAAATGGGATGTTTTGATTGGTCAATTCGGATAACGCGCGCGTGACGCGCTCATGCAGTGGAAACGCATCTCTAGAGGTCCTTTAATAATTATCACAATTTTTCAAAAATGTCGAGAGATGCTGTACTCCAATTCTCGTTTGATATATCTTATCTAATCATCGTTGAGAAAAAAGTTACAATTATAAGATAACATAAACTCATTCTCAATCTCTGTAATTCGGAATAAAATCCAGCTTTTATTATCACCTTTTGCGATAATTTAATTGTCGTTCTTAATTTATATATATATATATATATATATATATATATATATATATATATGCTCA